ATATTTAAAAAAATCTGAATTTGTTTTTTAGTTTGACTTGCTTCCTCTGGCAACCAGTACAAAAATAAACGGGTCACCATACATCTGTAACCTTCAAAGCTACAGTAACGCTTCGAAACGAAAGCGCAAACCACGCTCAATATGGACGCTTTAGCAGGGCTCGACTCTAACTTTTCAACTTACTCACTAGCCAAGTGGCTAGTGAAAACTTAGATGTTACCACAATTTCAGTTTGTTTACTAGCCAAACTGGTTGGTGGAAATCCAAAACCACCAGCCAAAACTGAATTTCTTCTAGTCTGTGGCTAGTTGGTTACCGTTAGTGTTGGGCCCTGCCTAAGTAGTCATGACGACAACGGCAAAGAAAACGTTGATTAAAAAATTAATTTAAATTTATAACAAGAATTTCGTGAAGGGCTAATTCTACGGCGCCACACCTTAACTTCAGCATCATGTATATGAGCGGGGTTGGGTTCCAAATTTAAACTTGAATAATTTAGCGTCGGTGTTTCAATTCTCAGACCACGTACGTTTTGATGATTTCACTTTGTTGTTTGGCAGAAGATGGCTAAGAAGTGTACAAAGTTTTAAATGCACGTGCACAGCTATTATTTTGCCAACTAGTTCTCTTGTTCTATCACGTCCTCGTTGCGATTGCCATTGTGGTTTACTTAAGATCCCTAATAAGATAACTCGAAGATAACGGCCAGGAATTGAACTCAACATTTCCCACTCTAAGTCCAGCGCGCTAACCATGAAGCCAACATGTCTGTCAGCTAAATGGTGTAGATGTAGCCCTTTTCACTGCTTTTAAACACTGCAGGTTTATATAGATTGTCTTATCCGGGCAATTACCTGTCTCTTGTTTTCCAAATATGCAGCTTCATTTGTCCACAAATCTAAAAGAACAGCAAATCTGCCCACTTGCTGATGTCCATACGCTGCCAGATCAATATGATCTCCCTGAAACTAACATAGGCACAAAAACATTATCAAATCTTTCTATTTTACCAGGGATGATGATTTTTAGCGCTCTAGAAACTAACCTTCAGATTTCTAGGCAGCCTCAAATCTTTGTCTTTTTGAAGGAAATGAGTGGCCACAAGAAGAAGTTCTGTCTCCAGTTCCCTGTTGTAAAACATTAAAACATTAAAATGCCACAACACACAAACAAGAAAGCCTCTAAACATGTGTAAACTTTGCTTGTCTTTTGCCGCGCCTCCTATAGTCTTTTTTAAGGAAAGAAAAAATTAGGAACAACTCGTAAGCTACCTTTCACTGGTGTTGACGAAAAATGCACTTACTTGAAGCTTGCAAGCGCCGTATCGTATAGGATGTAGTATCCTCTTTGATCCTGAATATGAACCCGACCTTCCCCGGTAGTAAAAAAGTCATCATGATTTTCAACCTGGGAAAAGGTTTAACACAGGCTAAAATTGTTAAAACACCAGAGATGCGAAAAGAAAGAAAATATTTCAGAAATGCCATTTTTTTTTTTAAACAGCGATTCCTTTCAACTTATCAGTTTTAAGCTTTTTCTTATTATCAGATAGCTATAACCCCCCACCATTAACATCTACAAACATTCTATTCTTTAATATTCGTCTCCTTATACATTCGCTAGTAACTTCTTCTTTAGAATACAACACTCAAACACAATATAAAAAAATTACTAAAGTAATTTACAAAATTATGACATAACTTATAAAGCTAACACTGATACCTTATACGCACGTAGTTTTAAACGAAATGTTAACCTTTAATATTACTTTCACCTTTCTGTCGCGTGCGATTGCTTGAACTGAGTGAACAAATTGAAAGTCTTAATCAAAGTACACAAGCAGGGCTAAATTTCTCAGAAATTGCAATACAGACTCTGAGAGTCTAACTTTCATTGTTAGATTCGTGGACACTGCTAAGAGAAAAATTTTTACTTGAGTCGCATCATTGAAATAAATCTCGTATTCTGATTGGTTAACGAAGCAAGGTATTTAGCGTGGAACTGCGAGTTGAAAACCAGGCTAAGTGATATTGTTTCGCATCTACGTAAACATAACAATTTTGAGTAATGCTGTTTCCTTTCTTTTCTCATTTCTATTCAGTTATGCGATTCAAGGAAAATCCATTACTTCACTCGTGAATTCCGTATTAAATTGCACTTGAAAACCGATATCGCACTCATCGCTTCGCGATTCGTGCGATATCGGTTTTCGCGTGCAATTTAATGCGGAATTCCCTCGTCAAGTAATGAATTTTTCTATAGAGTCAAATTACACGTAGACTGCGTGTAATTTGAGGTGCGTGTAAAACATTTTACGCTCGCGTAACGCACGCGTAATATGCGCGTAAATCCGCCATCTTGAACGCATTTTACGCACGTGTAGGTGCTGCAACAACTAGTCTACTTATGAGCGCTAGTCTGGCTAAAGCACAGAAACACTCACCTCTGAAAACTCCATGAATTCAGACTGTTCAACCCTTCAAAGGAATTAAATCAAAATATAGAAAAATTGTCTTAGCAATAAATCGCACTGCAAAGCAAAAATAATCACGCTGATCACTCAAAAAAGCTTCTACTTCCCGCTTCTTTGATTTAGAAGCACTGAAAAAAAAAATGAATAAAACAACAACAACAACACACACACACATTCTTTAGTCTTAAAAGTCTTACCAGTACAGCCATACCTTCTATTAATTCAAAAAGACTTGTTCCTAGTTAAACATGTTCAGGCCCTCAGGTCTGAAAACATATGACCGATAACAAAACTACCTCTTAACCCTTGCGGTGCCAGGAGTGACCAAGACAGAATTTCTCCTTACAATATCAATACAATGTCAAGCAGACAAGTGATGAGAATAAAGAAAAATATCAACAGTGACTACCATGATAAGAATTGTATGGCAGACAGTAATGAGAATTACTAATGAGATCTGGGAGTGAAAGGGTTGGGGCGGATAGGCTTCTAAAGAAACTATGGTGCTGCGTCGGTGGGACAGCATAATAAGGTAATTTTGGTTTTGAATTAAGGGTGAAAATTTCCAAAGAAACTATGTGCTGCGTTGGTGGGAGAGCATAACAAAGTAATTTTGGTTTTGAATAAAGGGTGAAAGTTTCCAAAGAGACTGTGGTGCTGCGACGGTGGGGGTAACAAGGTAATTTGGTTACATCAACTAAGTTGAAATTGTAAATTGGCCACCGTAGAGAGTTCAAAAGCTGACGTTTCGAGCGTTAGCCCTTCGTCAGAGCGAATGACGAAGAGCTAACGCTCGAGACGTCAGCTTTTTAGCTCTTTACGGTGGCTAATTTACAATTTCAACTTAGTTGATATAAGCAAGTTAATTTTGGTTTTATCAACTGAGTTGATAATGTAAATGGGATATCATAAAGAGTTTCAAAGCTGACGTTTCGAGCGTTAGCCCTTTGGCTTTACCTGTAGTCAGCCGGGGTGTTGTGAACGTATTGATGCGATCCAACACCTGATATACCACCGCCATGGAACACTTGATGTCTGAAATGGTAAGCAACAGTCATCAAGAAGGTGATGTGCAACAAAAAGACTTATGACAAGGTGTGGATGATGGATTTTTTTTCCTCTCGAAGTTAAGAATTGTGAATAAAACTTGTTCTTGCTTGCCGCTAGTTCAACTTCTTAGATGCACCCTATAAGAAGTATAGGAAGTCGCCTGGTCTGTCTCCCGTCTAGTTCCCATTCTTTTTTTTCTTTTAATCTTTATTTTCGTTGAGTATTCTGACATGATAAGAGGGTAGTGGAAAAGGAAGGGGTAGGGGTCCTGATCCCGGTTAGAAAAATTCCCGCTAAGCTGTGTTTCAAAAAGCATTTCAAACGTCACAAAAATAAAAGGTAAACCTTCAAATTTCTCACTTTTTTCTCACTTAGAACTTCTTACCAATCTATGTTGATTAGAAACTATAGTTGATTAGATTGGTCCTCAAAAGCCCCATCAGGGAAGCGATCGATTTACTGACGCAGTTGTCAAGTCATGATCAACATAGTAAAGGGAATTTTTAACACGGCACTTCTCTTCCAGATGTACATGATACTGTATACAGATTTTAAACGTTTATCTCGTTTGGGCGAGCTGATATCGAGAATGAACAAAACACTTTTTGAATGTACTCATCAACAGTTTTCCCACTTATGTGACTTACTTGAATGCTTTTTGTTTTCCTCCTTCTAGTGATAAGCCACCGTCATTAATCGTTAAAGTTCTTTCAGTTGACTTGAAGTAGTTGAGTATGCCAAGGCACTAGACGAGAAATAGTCAAATGAAATCTTGTTATGTGGGAAAAACAGTTTAACTTTTTCAGTCTTAGTTGTTACAGCCGAATAGACGTACAGCCGAATAGACGTACAGCCGAATAGACGTGCAAAGTTTAATGATAACTGTCCGACATACAAATCATGTTCCCGATGGTTGAATACACTAGAAACTTTCCTAAGACTAAATAATTTGGACACGCATAGTGACAAGGACTCCCTCCTCCAAGAGTATTGAAATAGGGCCATTTCCTACCGATCTCTAAAAATCCCTTTCTGTAAGGTACCTTAGATGTGAGAGGGGGTATACACGCCTGTTGCGGATAAATCACTTAAACACGATCGTTAGAAAAGATTCCCCTTCCACAACATTATTTGAATGGAGACCATTTATCACCTTACTCGAGATCCCTTAGACCGAGGGCATGCAGGCCCCTTGTAGCTGCTTAATTAGGTGGACAAGTTTATTTACAAATATCCACTCCCACAATAATTAAATAGGGACCATTTCTCACCGATCTCTGTAGATCCCTAAGTCTGAGGTGCCTCAGAAGGAGGAAGGACATGTAGGCGCCTTGAAGTTTACTGGCCTGAGTCTTAGCATCTTCGTCATCCAAGCCAAGAAGTTCAACCGCAGTACCCAAATCAAACTCTCCCGTGGAGTTACTATTGCCTCCCATGTCATCTTCACTGATTTTCGTGTCGAACTCCAGAACATCATCTTTGGAGCTCAAGCTATTTGGCAAAATCAAGAAACGAAAGGAGAAAGCTATGAGTTACTCATGCATATGAGGAAATGGGCCTTTTCTCGAAAAAATCTCTCGACGCAGGCGGGCTAATTCATTTCAGGCACCTGTAGACAATTTCCCATTTTAAAGTATTCAAAAAAAAAACTTACATTCCCTAGCGTTGCTGACCGCACACTGCTGACCGCACATTGCTGACCGCAAACTGCTGACCGCACACTGCTGACCCCACACTGCCTCACGAGCGCGCCTAAGGAGCTACATCTCACCCAGTTTGATGGGTCACTCAACTACCACGCGTAATGCCGCTTTTACATCGCGGGCGACAAAACATATTAAGGGGTTACTATAACAAAGATTTACCTCACATTAGCATAGCTGAAAATGCGTTTCCATACTGCAGCCGTGTTATTCTTGGTATGGTAAGTCGTTACAGCTGCTGGAAGAGGCGTTGGCGGCTCCAAGACAGCTTTGGCATGTTCCTTTAATGATGACAGTATCCTCTAAAGAAGCGATTGAATCAAAATCAACATTTTTTTCAACAATATTAACAAAGAACTCAGCGCTAAGTTACATGTAAGGTCCCATGGCTGTGGGTAAGCACAAAGCACAAAAAAGTTTTAAAGAAGACAACAGCTGCTCGAAAAAAAAACACTATTCTATAACCGTTGTGAGGTCCTAGATGAGTCAGTCAGTCCTTGCTTTAAATTGAGTTCTTATGCCAACATCAATACAACTATCAGTCATTTATCAATACCAATCGCCCACAATGGTTAAATATGAAAAATGGTTGTGCTACGGCGGTATTTGGTGTCATCATAGAAATACGGTACCCATTTGAATTGCAAACATCCAATTTACAGATAACTTTCTAAAGGTACATGCATCGACACAAGACGGGACATGATATAAAAAGGGTAAATCAACGTCCGAGCTCAGGGATGGGAAATAATATCATCGTCTTGTGAATGCAGACCCAATTATAGTTCATTCTTTTCAGAAATTTAGCCTCACCTGGCCATCTTGTACGTGAAGGAAACGTGAATGAGCTCTAAGTAACTAAAAGGATAAGAGAGAAGATACTATTATAACAAAATAACGTAAAGCGAGCACTCTGATTGGTCAATTCAGTGTCTACTATTTGTCGATGGATATTCGTTGCTGAGTGAGCAAATGTTTCGCACAAAATTGTTTTTTAAAGTCATAAAACAAATGATAAACAAGCAAGAATCTAGAGTCGCTTGAGGCGATACCCTTCTTTCGAGCTTAGCAACCTCCCAAGTGCATCCATAACTCGATAGTAAACGCTGTGGTGTTTACCACTTGTTAATTATGTCACAGTATGAGAACCTGAAATAGTTGCGTCGCATTACCTCATCAATGTTGCCTTTATGCTTCAGCTTTGTCATGGCCTTAACTTGAACCGAGGCCTGCTCTGGCCTGCAAGAAAGCAAAGTAACACAATGGCATTCACATAAGCCAGTTTCACGTATTGGTAGAGCAGATCTGTTAATGAACTTTTATAAATTCCTATTCAATGTCATTAAATCTGCTGATTCTCGTCAGTTTTCTCGATACTAGCACTTGTAAAATAATGCGACAAATAGGTAACCTTTGCTAAATCGATTTCGCTTAACTAAATCCTCTAGCCGATTCCCAATAGAGCATTTCCAACCAGTTATCATGTAACGCACACTCCACTTATCTCGCACCAGTAGTTTTGAGCTTTACATCTATTCAGTAACTTAAAATCTGTTTAAATCCTTAAACCACACCCATACATTTGTTCACGAACTGAGGGGATATGTTCATCTTGGTGCCAATTTTTTTCCGTTCTCTTGTGTAGCTGTTGTAGCTTCTTTTAGCCGTTTGACTTCTAAGAAAGACAAGTATCTGATATATCCTTACAATTTCACCCCTGAATGATCAAACATCAAGATCTCAAGAATAAAGCACATGAACTCCACCAGAAAAAAACTTCAGATTGATCGACAGATTCTCCTTGCCAGCACCTTAGGAAATGTGTAGAAAACAGTATGGAGAATATGCATACTGATAATTGGGTGTAAAGGGACAACGGTTCGAGTAAACGGGGTTCTCGCTGCGGATACAGCCACAGAAAAATTATTTATTTCAAACGCGTTGAAGATTTCAGGACGGTGGGTCACTACCGGTTGCTTGAACTCGTTTCACTTAATTTTCTATTTTAAAAAAGAGCTGAGATTCAAAACCTCAGAGAGTTGAAAGAAGTCCAGTTCGACTGCTGCTTGAAAGTGTGCAAGGCTCCTTCGCTTCTTATTTTACTATCTCCAAACTCCTGTAAAACAAAAGCAATGGATACATCAAAGAGAAACTTCTTCTGACAAAATTCTCAACGAATAAAGCCTTCCACTGCATTACAAGTTGAATGGATATAATTCTTTCTGTATTACTTCTTAAAAAAAAATGTTTAATTGTAACATTCAGTCAGGTTGAAGTCATTGCCGTATCACACTAGACTCTCCTCTTCAGTTACGATTTGGACTCAAAATGCCTAGCGAGCGAGAGTTGTAGAATTTTCCTCGCCATTGACACACATTATCAAAACCCTTCTATAAGAATATTACTTCCTTTGTTAAGAGCAGCAATAGACAGTTACATTCGCAAACCCTACAGCACAAATCGCATAACCAACGCCTTTGCAGTCGCCAAAAACCACCATGGACACAAAGGAAATGAGTAAGTTTTATCAGTCTTGCGTGTTAAACGTTCATATTTCAGAATATCTAGTGTTGCAAATCGACTATATTTCGTTCCCTTTACTATGCCTTATGACTCATTCAAACTCTCAAAGGTTCTTCGCATAACTTAACACCGCGTCACACAACGCGCGACGCTTTCACGGAATAGTCTTTCGCTTTTCCACGAGATGTGAGCTAGGGACGCTTGTGTTAATACGGATGCATTAACTAATTGTATTTGCATGTGTGCGCGCTGTCTGTGTGTTTAAAGAAGAGCTGCATGTTGCGCTCTTGGTTGAGCTCTCTTTCCTTTCGGGTTAGAATTTGCACTCGATTCCGGTTGATACACGCGCATGCGATAAACACCAAACCAATATGTATATCTTGTTAACCAAGCGCGAGGGGCGTACTCGGAGAATATCGGCCCGAGGTCTTGACAGCACGGACCGAGCGCAGCGAGGTCCGTACAAAAAAGACCGAGGGCCGATATTCTTCCAGTACGGTCCCGAGCAAGCTTGGTTAATAAGAGATTTATTATACGACTGAAGTTCAAAGGGACACAAGTGCGGTATCATTCGGGAAAGTGCCCGGTCCAATACTGAGAGAATATTGACCGGCAATAGAGCATTTTTATTGGTTGATTTTAGTTATTGGCCCTCTGACTCCCCGAGTCGTGTAATAAAGGATCTTTTCTTTCTTCATTCCTTTCCTATTCTTTGAGACGTTCTTATATCGAAGCGGTCAACAACGTTCGCGGTTTTTGACTACTTTATCGAGGATTACGGTCTAACTTGTCTTCTAGTTTAGAAACGATCTTGATTACACGAGGTCTTTTCCTAAACTGAAACGCTAACTTTTATTGTCTTAAAAGGAACTAATCACGGAGGCGTTTATCAAACAATAAAATATTTCGCAGCTTCTCTCTGAAGCGGTAACATTTAACTTTAACGGAAGCGATTACACCTGGTCCTTTACTATTGTTTTGCGTGCAATAATTAAATCGTTTTCTCGAAACTGCAGATCGAAATCGTTGAAAAAGTTCTTCGAGTGGCTTGATCCTCGATTCTCGATCCTTGATACTCGAGCCTCGATTCTCGATAGTTTCGAGTAGCGAGGATCGGTGTTTCGAGTCAAGACTGTCAACTTACTTTTGAGCGGTACTCAGCACATTTGACTAACCTCGATGGAAGCATCGTACACGGGGAAAGTTCTCATTTGTTCTTGTTTGGAAAAGACCTTCTTGAATCTTCTTGAGACCATAGTAAAGAGATCCATTTCATCTGCATGAGTGTTGATTTGATTTATGTCCTACAAACAAAATTTCATTAGAGTACAGGGAACTGTTACTTTCCTTACTGGTTGCCATATAAATTCTTACCAGGTTAGTTTGGGGAATTTGATATTGGATCAACTAATCAATAGAGAAAACTAACTTAATACCATGCCTATACATTTTTGCTTAAAAGGAGTCAAAACTCACGTTGAAAGAGATGCGCAGTTTGAAAGGATTTCCAACATTACTACCATGAAGCGAATTCGATGGAAACACACCAAGTGTATTTTGTTGTTGTTGTTGTTTGATTTTGTTTTGTTTTATAGTTGGTGGTTTTTTTTGTTTTGTTTTGTTTTTTTTTTGTGGCTTTTCATTTGCGAGATAATTTCTTTGTGCTCGCAACTGTCATTAAAAAGTATAACTGTTTCCTTTCCTCACCATCTCAACAGCATAACAAGTCATAAAGAACTCCAGCAGAGGTTTTATAGTAGCAAACGTCATCTCGTGTAATGGCAACTTCAGGTTTATCTCATCAGACGCCAGCCCTCCGCCCGAAGCAGCCGCTGCTGCCGCGATGGAGGGATTCGTTCCTGACACCAACTGATAGGGGGTCAGACTAAGAGGAGGCGGCGGCGGAAGACTGGCATCAGGGGTAGGTTGAGGTCTTAGGACATGAAGGTGGGCCGTGATCGACACTTGACTGAGAATCTTCTTCAGTTGGCCGCGTGCTTTGGAGGGCGGTCCCACAGAGGCTTTGCGTTCCTGTTCAGGAGGTTTTTCGTCCTTCTCAGCGACTTGAGGTTGAATAGTGTTCTTGTGTGTCACGGGAAGCCACTCGACCGTCTGAGGGGAAAGAAGCGTTTTTGATTTTATCTATATCTTTGAAAAAGACACTGTCAACCATCAGCAAGTGAGATCTGCCTCGATTCTCGCGGAATGCCGCACATTTTTTGAGATGTCCTGTTTTTTACAAGATGTATCGCGTTTCTAACGAAACAAATGTCGTTGGTCGCGAGATTTCTCACCTCTCGCATCCAACATCTCGCTAGGTACAGTATGTTTCTTTTCTTACCAGCTGTGCCTCGTCTCGCAAGAGATATGACTCGTATCTCTTAGTAAGTGTCACCTTTCCAGCGACGTATTTCTTTCCCGGTTAGCTCAATTGGTTAGAGCGCTGGACTGTTGTGC